AGTTTTGTGAAATAACATTGTATAAGACTTGTCCACTTTAACACGCTAGGGCCCTGTTTACTTTCATTTCTGTTTCCTGTTTTTGAGAAAACAGATGTTGAAAACAGGTGAAAACAACATTTCGTCGTTTTCGAAAACAGCAGGAAGTTGCCACTTTCTGTTTTCATAGTTGGAAACGAATAGAAAACAGAATGAAAAGTAAACAAGTTTTCTCGTTTCGGTTGCCAAATTTATGGCATGAAAACAGAAAACAGGAAACGAAAATGGAAATGAACAGGGCCTTAGTTTTTATAATATGGAAAAGATTTGGTGGCACCTAAAAACTGGACACCTATTTCATGTATTTTTGTTGCGTTTATTTACGTAAATTTATGCTTATTTACGTCATATATTGTTGTTTATTCACATAATAGTGGTGGTTATTTACACAAATAGTACTGATCATTCACCCAATATGGTATTTATTCATGCATTATTATTTATTCACGTTGTTGTAAAATCAAATTTTAAATTTTGAAATATATTTAAATAGATGTCATTGTCTAGATTGTGATTCACGAAACTCGTTTTTTTACAAAAAAAAAAAAAAATGAAAATCCAAATTTAATTTCATAAAGTATAGTTAGCAGAAAAGAAAAGGAACAAGTTTGAGATTTCATTTGCGAGAATAACTCCAAATTATGTAAATGAATGCAAAATGAGTGAATTAGTTGATGTGGCTGTCCACTAAACATTTTTCTAAGATAGTTGAGAGATGGGTGGTGAAGTGAAACACAAACATTTATTTTGTAATCAAATGCTAAAATGATGTGCTTTCGTTTTTATCATTTTAAAATTAAATAAAATATAAAATAATATTATTTTAATATAAAAGAAATCTAACAAGATCCATTTTGACTACTTTTTTTATTGTTTAGAATTTTTATTCATATTTTATATTATAAATCATTTATAGTTATTATACATAACCACTTATATTAAACCGTATTTCTAATTATTTTTCAACCAAACACTCAACTGTTTTTTTTTTTGAAAAATACTTCTCTATATGCTACCGCCAGAAGTTGCTTCTACAAAAGTTACAACAATGCCAAACTAGCCACGTCTCAAGGATCTCATAGTGTTATTATGTATGATCCTAACGCTAGGCACGAACTTTTGTACGACTTTGTTAGGATTTCTTCAACCTTTTTAGTGAAGTAACTAGCAAAACCTGCTCGCTGCGCTTCGCGATGAGTAGTCACAATTATACTCATTGATTTACACGATAAAAAGGGAAATAAATATATCATCATAACTATAAGGTTAAATCGATATGGATTTTTGTTCACGAATCTATTTGTAGCACTACTAAATTGATGGAGTCACGTCATCAAGTTCCTCCCACATCTTTCAACAACTAATACAACATTCATTAGGGTAGTTAACTGAACAACAAATAAAACGTCGTTCGGAAGTTACTATAAGTGGATTTATAATCAACGACAAATTGAAAATAAGGCAAGTAGTAAAATAACATTAACACTTTCAATATATTCAATCCCATATGAAATTCTTCTTATAAATATTTGTTCCTTTTGCTATGCTTCTCCCCCATCTTTTCTCAATACCATTCAGGTGCTTTGTCATTTTACATGGCTCCTACAATTGATCAATGATCATTAAGCATTAGTGAGCCATCAAAGCCTACTAAACCATAAGTGAGAAGAAACTAATAAGCAGACAAATTTTTATCAAAATTCCCATTCACGAAAAGTGGAAGCACTTGAAAGCATGGATATGAGGTGTGGTTGAAGCTAGTATGTTTCTCCACCAAACAACATACTTCTCCGAGAATCAGCTAGCTCAGACTTGCCAACCATATAGGATAGCCTAAATACACGAAAACTACAAACAATTTTATCAAGTTATGGAGGTGTATGTCCTATAAGGATGACATGCATGCTAACTTTTTAAAGTAAGTTTTAAACTGTCTAAGTCGAGTACTTAAAAAAGAAATTGCCTAGTTTGCACTAATATAATCCATGCAGTTGAATGCCTATTTGGAAGATCATTTCCAAGTGGTTAAACACCACCGATTATATTTCTTAGACGTAAAAGGTGACACAATTAGATCAAAAATAAAATCATCCAAAGCAAACCAATAGCAACGTTCGTAACTTTAGCATACAAAGATGCATGCACTGCTCTTTTTTATATGAAATAATGGAAACAAAAATTTGATCGTTGAATATAATTACAATAAACATCACACTATATTCCGTTAAAGTTGGGGTGAAGGGAATACCCAACACATGGTGACAAATATTCGAAAAGGAAGATAGAAGTAGTTTAGCAAATTAAAATGAGGCCACATTAGGAATTCAAGTATGCGCTCTAGCTCCGAAAGTTGACCATGGACAGAATTGAAAACTAGAATAACATAAGGGAAGTTTGGCGTATGATGCATCTTAAACGAATGTTAGAATTTGATAAACCAATCGGAACCATTATCATTTACATTAGGATGGGCTCTTGCATTTAGGGATGGCAACAAAACCCGAACCCACGGGTACCCACCCGACCCAACCCGGTCAACGCGGGTAAAATCCGTGTTGACGGGTTTTGGGCCGGGTTTGGGTTTAAACCCGTTTACTATTCATTGGGTTGGGTTTGGGTTTAGGTAAACCCGGCCCGTGGGTACCTGCCCACTCATATAATTAATTTTTTCGGTATATTTAATATTCTAAACAACTAATCTTATTTATGTTTGTGGAGACATGTCTATTTTTTTCTTTTTAATTGTGTAGAATGAAGTTGATGTTATGGAGTGGAGAGTAAAGAAATTAAATTGAAAGGAAGAAGCTTTCAATTAAACATGTTGTTTATGAATAATTTGTGATTTGCTTCAATTTTCTTGAGTTTTCTAGATTGGTGTTGAACAATTTGTATAGTTTATTTGTGATTTGCTTGAATTTTCTAGAATGGTGTTTTATATATGGATAATTTGTATTGAGAGATTGATATTTGACTTTAATTTTGATAAGAACTTGTAATTGTAAATTTTTTACGACAAAACCCGTGGGTACCCATGAACCCGCGGATACCCAACGGGTTGGGTTGGGTTTGAGTTTTTCAAACCCAGTGGGTTTTACCCCGGGTTTTTTTCAAAGATAAACCCATGGGTTTGGGTTTGGCAAAACCCGACCCAACCCGACCCAACCCGACCCATTGCCATCCCTACTTGCATTGCCCTTGATGGCTTGAATCTGAGCAATATTTTTAAGCAAAGATAGCTAGTGTGTCATTTACATTGAAGGTAACTTTTATATAAAAGTGAATTCAAATAATGGACAAACAAAGGCCAACCTCTAACCTAGTTGTAAGTTCAACAGGGGGAGTAGTGCAGAAGCTACTCCTTGATCTTATAACACCACTATATGCAAATTCTAACTACTGAGTCTTTTTATCTGGCAAGAGCACAAGCAAGCAGGAAGGATTGGAAAGGGCAGGTACTAAAAAAAGATACAATGCATAAGGCAGACCAAATAAACTTTTACACATAATAACACCTAACTTAATAATAGATAGATTAACAAACAAACAAATAAGAATTGTATAGATTTGTAGACGAAAGAGAACTACCTTTAAAATGTTCATGATAGAGAATAATGTTTGGATGGGGAATTGTGGCAACCTGACAACAAAAACAAAATCCTTGCCATCAGAACAAACAACATTAGTCCTCAAATACAGAAGAAACAAACACAATCTACTGGGAAAAGGCAACAATAAAGGCAAAAATACAACACAACAATGTCCTCAAAAAATAAAAGTAAAATGGCACAAAACAACTCCAAGTTTGGTTAATTACAAAAAAGCACCCTTTAAACATGCAAAACTCGTTGTCGACACAATAGTTTGTCAACACCGAATTCAACTTGCTTTATCTGGTTCGAATTAGGTCGAATACCTATTGATTTGGGTTGAGATCGGGTTCAATTATCATAAGAAAATTAACTACCTATTAATTTGGGTTGAAATCGGGTTCAATTATCATAAGAAATTAACTACAACCTTAATAGAAGAAAAAAACCTCCAAGCTTTATTTAATTACAAAAATAGCATCACAATTCACAAGTGAAGTGAATTTATGAAATAGTGGTTTTCTTGTTCTTTTAAAGAGTTAAATTTTTAAATAAAGTAGATGATCTTTTGTGCATTTTGTTAACTATCATTTTCTTGAGATGTTGATGATTTTGAGGTTGGTCAAAATAGATACTAACACCATCGATTATGTTATAATATATATTATAAAAGAAACAGTTTTTCTATTAGTTCGAATAATTTAATACTAAAACATTATACGTTGTTTTTCCCCGCATCATACGTTGTTTTAGTATCTCATTATCCGCATTATCTTCAATGGATATTGGACGGATAATAAAAGAAGGTTAGGATAAGTTCTCAATTCTAATTAAATTAGGCATCTTAACCAAATGAGACTCCTGATTAAAAGAAATGGCAATAATATTATCATCGTGGCCGATAAGACAGATACTTAAGATTTAGATAAGCCCCGCTCCTAAAAAGGATTTAATCCCAGTTTTTGGTACCTTCCGGCCCACGCTCCAATTTCCCCTTTCCCCATAAAAAGTAAAAACCATGATAATAACGCCAAATCCAAAGAAAGCAGTCCGGCCCCGCTTCTTTCCCGTTGCGCCACGTGGCACTCTCTGTCCCACAAAAACGATGCTTTTCCTCCGAAACCCGAAAACCGAGGGCCCAGATTTCCTTCCCTCGGGTTAACCTCTCCCAGCCCACACAAATTACGTGACACATTATTATTAGGACTCTCTCTCTAATTAGCAATTACGTCATTAATTAATTAATTATATTACTTCCCAGTCTCCTACCCAAAGAAAACAACACTCTAATCTAATCCAGTCGTTATCCGCTTACTCCTCTTTCTCTTCCTCTCTCCTCGCCTCACTATATATATATAATCGGGTCTCACCGCTTTCTCTCCCCCACATTCACTCACTCAACCAAACCACGTCTTCCCCCTCTCTTCCCCACTGTTAGGTTGACCAGAAAACGCGAGGAAACCATGGATGTTGATCTCACCCCCAAGCTCCCCAAGAATGTCTGCGGAGGCGACGGTGGCTCCTACCAAGCCTGGTGCCCCGATGACCTCGGCATGCTCAAGCGCGGCAACATCGGCGCCGCCAAGCTCGGCCTTCAGAAGAACGGACTTGCTCTCCCTCGCTATTCCGATTCCGCCAAGGTCGCCTATGTTCTCCAAGGTCGGTTTCCTCCTCCTTCAGATCTTCATTTTGTTCTGGTTTGCTTGCATGTCCGTTAATTAAGTCGATTCATCCCACCAATCCGTGAAATTGCAATTCGATTAGCCGATTTTCCCACCTTTACCCAACCGTTCTGAATTTTGATTTCTCGGGTTGATTTGATCTGCTAGAATTTGAATTAAATTTTGATCCAGATTGGAATGTGGATTTAATCCGTCTTTTTTGTTGTTGTTGTTGGGGTGTGCTGTTTTTATTGCAGGTAATGGAGTGGCTGGAATTGTTCTCCCGGAGAAGGACGAGAAGGTGATCGGGATCAGGAAGGGTGACGCCATTGCGCTCCCTTTCGGCGCGGTGACCTGGTGGTACAACAAGGAAGACGCTGAGCTGATCGTCCTGTTCTTGGGGGACACCTCGAAGGGCCACAAGGCAGGTTCCTTCACCGATTTCTACCTCACAGGGACCAACGGCATCTTCACCGGCTTCTCCAGCGAGTTTGTTTCTCGGGCGTGGGATGTGGACGAGAGCACTGTCAAGGCGCTCGTCGGCAGCCAATCCGGAAAAGGAATCGTCAAGCTCGATGGTTCGATCAAGCTCCCCGACCCAAAGAAGGAGGACCGCGAACGCCTGGTCTACAACTGCGAGGAGGCTCCTCTTGATGTCGACATCAAGAACGGAGGAAGGGTGGTGGTGCTGAACACCAAGAACCTCCCCTTGGTTGCCGAGATTGGGCTTGGTGCCGATCTCGTGAAGCTGGATGGCGGCGCCATGTGCTCCCCTGGTTTCTCTTGCGATTCTGCCTTGCAGGTGACTTACATTGTGAGCGGAAGCGGCAGGGTCCAGGTTGTGGGTGTGGATGGCAAGAGGGTGTTGGAGACTACCGTCAAGGCTGGCCAATTGTTCATTGTCCCCAGGTTCTTCGTTGTTTCGAAGATCTGTGATCCTGATGGAATGTCTTGGTTCTCAATCATCACCACTCCAAAGTAAGTTCTTCCATTCCCTCCACTCAATTGTCTAACGAATTGGACGATCCAATCCCTTGATTTGGGTTCTTTTCTTGCTTGATTGCAGCCCGATTTTCACCCACTTGGCTGGAAGGACCTCGGTGTGGAAGGCACTGTCGCCGGCGGTGCTGGAGGCGTCTTTCAAGGTGTCGTCGGAGGTTGAGAAGAAGTTCAGGGGAACTAGGACTTCTGATGAGATTTTCTTCCCACCGTCCAAGTGAGCGAGCTTCAGCGAGCCGTAGGCAGAGATAGACCTGCTGAACATTAGCCAGTGTCTCTGCCGATCAATCGTTGCCATGAGAATAAATAAAGATAGGAATCAGTAAATTGTTAGGCTTATGTTTTTCTATTATTGTTTCGGTTTCCTTCTCTGTTTGCTACAGTCGGATTTCGGGTCCAGATTTTGCTGTCTGTTCGGATTTGACAATTGATTGGGATTCTCCGTGATATTGTGCATCATTTCCATATCTGTTCCTTTCACTTTTGTTTTAGTGAGGAACAAAGATAATATATTTTTCTGCCAAAAAAGAGAATCTATTTAACCATACCATTGCACATTACACAAGGAAGATACATCTCAATAGCTGCATACCTACAATAGAGGGTTAAGGCCCACATACAATGAGGATACCATCTCGTCGGGCCCTAAGCCCGCAATCCAAATTCTCTCTGAATTTCTAAACTCGCATCCAATGAAAGACGATGAAGGCTACTCGCGTCTGCTTCCATGATCCATCCACATTGGGCTTCAACCACCCGCTTCAGGTTTTTGCCAAATTGCACCTCTATTTGCAATCTCTTGTTAAAACTAGTTTTTAACTTCACAGATGCCAGTAAAAAAAAAATTAGTTTGTACCGTTTTATTTTTGTTGTTCAATTTTTACATATTTTTCAATAAGTTCGGATTTTCAAAAATAGTTAATTTATTATTTCAAAGTCATCTTTTTGGTATTTGTTGACTATGATATTAACGATAAGCAGTTAATATATACTTTTTATCAAGTCGTTTTACTATACTGTTGTGTATATGTATTTTCCATATTTTTGAATTTTTTTGCATTTTTTATAGTTGGATGTGATTTCAGAGTTGGAAGGACATATGTGTCATTTAGCTGCAACTCCTAATAATCAATAGCTACAATCTCATCCTCCATTCGTTTCGCTTTCTCTTCCTCAGACCCAACAACAATTAAACGCAAAACTTTTGTCTGACACAAAAAAGCTTGAAGACTGACATTTGAACTTCAACCAAACTCTCTGCATACATTTGTCTCATACACTATGGGGATGGTGAGAAGAAAGTCCTCAATTATTGATCGATTTGAGTCCATCATCAAAATTGAATCCATTTTTTTGTAGAATATTCGGGTTTTGAAGTATCAAAGATTGTCAACCTGTTAGCCCGTTGGCCCGGTCGAGTAAGTGGGTTGAGGGTTAATGGTCCAATAATTTTAGTCGGCTTTTGCCCGGATATATGAAAAAGCCACTATATTGTTCACATTTATAAATTATATAAAATCTAATCTACATATGGATAATATATTATATAACATTACACCAACATAACAATACATATTTGGATCCAACATATAATGAAAATTCAAAACTCACTCATATCACATAAATATTCAAATATTCAACTTAGAATTCCGACAGTAGGGTTAGGCGAAGGGATAAACCAAAATAGATGCGCAATTCGCAAACCAAATGGGAAAATGGCGTCGTATGACCTCCAACCCGGAATTCTTTTGCGACTCGACCCAGTGGGTGTGTGGCGTCCGTTTTATTCACTTGGTCCGGATCAACGTTGGTTGACAATCTTATCCCTATTGTAATGAAAAGAATGAGAAACCAAAATTTTAAAAGTAGGCACATCAATATTGGGAGATATATTTTTACTTCAAGAGTCAACCTTATCCCAAAAATTTAAAAGTATGCCCATGTTTCAAATGGATGCATCTCACCCCTTTTGCAAATCGATTAAAGCTTCCTCGCCCGGACTAACTAAATTTTTCACTATACGCTGCTTTCCGATATCCTCCGTCGAGCTCCTAAAAAGCACGCCAACAACATGTGTTCATCGCGCGACAACGATCGCACTCTGATGACGGCGGTGTGTCTCAAGTGTGGAATATAATGACTAATAAGGAACGCCCAACTGAGTATTGGGGGGGGGGGGGGGACTTTGCGAGGGCAGACAATACGTGAGGTATGGAAGGCGAGTGTGTCTCAAGTTGGATTCTCTCTCTAAAATTTGGAATACCACTTATCTCTCTAGAGTAGATCTTAACTTGACCTCAGAAGGACTAATAGACCTAGAAAGGTCCGTATGTGCGCATGTGCAGGTGACATAAGGAAACAACATGAAGTTTTAGGATAAGAGCTCTAATAAGGTGATTACCATAAAGTAGTGATAAATAAATGAATATAAACCTTCCAAAGTTTACAATATTTGTTGGTAGTTTTTTATGGAAGTTTTTAGTTTTATTTTATTTAATAGGAAAAGAGAAATGAATGCATTGTTTGTTTATCCACCGTCATCCACTCAATTAGTTGTTAATAAAAGAGCCTATATCTTCTTCTTCGCTTTCGTTTCTTCGTTTCCTAAGCCGCCGCCGGAGGTCTTCTGTAGATCTACCAAATTCTATATCAGCGACCATCTGACTAACCCCCTATCCTTCCATTTAGTTCCAAACCCGTGATTTCATGATCTATTTCACAGTCCACATTCACGAACTCGTGGTGAATCTCTAGAAGTGGAAATTTTGTTTGCCACTCATCCAAATCTTCAACAACTTTGAAGATCTGGTGTTACATGTATCCTCTTCGTCTGTGCTCTTCAGATATTTGTCGGCACCACATTTATTTCTCTCTCCCTCTCACAACGAAGTAGTTCATCATCTTCGAGCCAACGATTTGGTTGTAGCTTGTTTCATTTTACTCTGTTTATAAAGAGAGAAATCTCTCAAATAAGTGATACATGAAATAAATTTTGTGAACTTTGATAGTCAATGCTCTGATTTTTAGTTTGAGCTACAATTTGTGGGTTTTGGAAGTTTACAGTTTCTGTAAAATAAAGCAAAAAATTTTGCAGGCTTCGCAAACCAAATGAACGGAAGATTATTTCTTTCACGAGCCACAACATACTCCTGGACCATAAATCGGGCAGCCTCTGCAACCAGCGCCAAAAATTTCCCTCATCCCAAAATATCCCTTCCGAAAATCAAATGAACGGAAGATTATTTCTTACAATATTTGTTTGTAGTTTTTTATGGAAGTTTTTATTTTTATTTTATTTAAGAAGAAAAGAGAAATGAAAGCATCATTTCTTTATCTACCCTCATCCACTCAATTAGTTGTTAATAAAAGAGTATATCTTCTTCTTCCCTTTCGTTTCTTCGTTTCCTAAGCCGACATCGGTCAATCGATGAGGCCAACCGAGCAAAAATCTTTGCAGACTTCGCAAACCAAATGAAGGGAAGATTATTGTTTTCATGAGCCATAACATACTCCTCGACCACACATTGAGCCGCCATCCGCAGCCAATATTGGAAATGAATGAATAGCTTTGAAAGCTATAGAGTCTCAAGGTGGAAAAACTACCATATTGGTAGTTTTACTTGGTGAAATGTGTATAAAGATAGGAGCCTCTCTCATAAGGGCATGCCCCTTGGGGTGACCCACTTTTGTGGGAGAGGGAGGACCTAACGAACCACCACACACGCGCGCGCGTCGTCCGACTGACCGGCCGGTTGGTTGGTTCACTTGAGACTATATATTTTTTGGAGAAATTCCGAACGAAATTAATTATTAATGGGTTATTCTAAGGAATATTCGAAGGATAATCCCGCAGGAATTATCTTACATACGGGTTTTAATTAAGGAGCTGTTTTATCATGGAGACGACCGATTGATAGTATGTCGTGCTCATCGAGGACAGTGTCGCGAACGTCTTAAAGAAAGCGACTAAGCTCCAGATTCGACAACCTCGTTCTTGTTGTTGTTCTGTTCCAAACAATTTTAAGACGTTCGGTTGCTGCTATGTCGACTGAACAAAACAACATGGCCGGATCTGGTGCTGTCGATATCAATCGACCCTTTCGCTTTGTTGGAGTCAACTTCCGTCACTGGAAACAAAAGATGGAGTTCTACCTGATGACCAAGAAGTTGGCACATTGCCTCACCAGCATGCCCGTCGAGCTGCCGGAAGAAGAGACCGATGAGGAGAGGGCTGCTTCTGTTACGGAAAGGGAGCATGACTTCCTGTGCAAAAACTACATCCTCAACGGCCTGACAGACGATCTCTATGACTACTATGTGGACAAAAAGAACACCACAATGATGATCTGGGATACGCTCCAAAAGAAGTATGACACTGAGGAGGCTGGAGCTAAGAAGTATGCTGTCAGCCGCTACCTGCGCTAGCAGATGGTGGATGACAAGTCAGTCGAAGTTCAATCCCACGAACTTCAGAAAATAGCTCATGAGATCGTCTCTGAAGGTATGCCTCTGGACGATCAGTTTCAAGTTGCTTGCATTATTGATAAGCTGCCCCCTTTGTGGAAAGATTTTAAGAATATGCTTAGACATAAAACTAAGAAATTTTCACTGGAAAGCTTAATTACTCGCCTAAGGATTGAGGAAGAGTCCCGCAAGCAGGATATAAAAGAAGAGGTGATGGTTGTCACTGCTAAACGACCCATCCTTAGAGCTCTTAAACCTAACTAGAAAGGTTTCAAGAGTAAGAACCAGCAGGTTCGCCCCGCCAGAATGGTGCCTCTTGAGGTAACCAAAGAGTGATGGCCCAAACCTCTAAGAATGACCCACCGTTTATCTTCTATAACTGCGGTAAACCGGGTCATATGGCAAAAAAGTGCAGGAACAAGGCTAACCCTGCTGTTGCGGCCAGGTTTAACTTGACATAAGAGGATTTGGTAGCCATGATCACGGATATGATCGCTGAAGTCAACCTCACCGGTGACTCAGAAGGATGGTGGCTGGATAAAGGTGCATCGAAGCATGTATGCAACAATCGTGCTATGTTTAAAACATACACATACGCACTTGCTGACAAGAAAATGCTGTTGGGGACTACCCACACCACTATGGTTAAAACATACACATACACATAAGCCCTTAGATCTGATTCATTCTGATATTTGTGAACTAGATGGGACGTTAACTAGGTCTGGCAAGAGATACTTTATCACTTTCATAGATGATTGCGCTGATTATTGCTTTGTTTATTTGATGAAAAACAAAAGTGAATCCCTTGATGAGCACTTCTACTATGCTATATAGTATTGGTGCTTTAATGTACAACTCAAAGTTGTACCATAACATTAAATGTATAAGTTTAGGTTGTACCATAAAACAATTTATTCCATTATGTTATGGTACAATTTTACAACTTGAAGTTGTACCATCACATAAATGTACAAGTTCAAGTTGTACCATAAAAGAATTTGTACAAAAAGTATAGGTACAATCTGAAGTTGTACCATAACGTAAATGTACCATTTTAAGTTGTACCATAAAAACAAAAACCTATAGCACCAATACTATATAGCA